GGCGCGGTGGACGCACAGCAGACCGACGAGGTCGCCATCGTCGGCGTGGAAGAACTGGCGAGCAGTCGTTCGGTAAATGCGAACCTTGTCAATCTGCGTAGCGTCATCACCGACGTCCTTGACGTGGCCCAGAACATGTCCACGGCCGTTTTGGGATACAAAGTAGCCGAGGTAGGTGCCGAGACCCATGTACGCGACGGCATTCTTGTGAGGGCCCCATTGCTGGGCAGGGAAGTTCTTGAACAGAATGAAGCCCTTGCCGTCGATGAGGTCGCTGCGCAGATTGACGAGGATCTTGCTGAGGTTGGGCAGCGGGAAGTTTTCCTTGACTAGGTCAGACAAGAGTGCACATCCGGCATGACAGGACGACATACCTTGGTGATGCCGGTCAGCGCTGTGCCGCTCGCAATGAAGGCGTCGGCAGTGCGGCTGAGCTCTTCCACCTCCTCAGGGGTAAGAGGGTGAGTCCATCGCTCAGGGTTGTTAACGAACTCGTCCTTGTGCCAGACTGTCGGGCCGGTGATCTCCTTGGGGAAATCCTCATAGGGGCGCAGCTTCTCGTAGAGGGGGTTGTGCTGGCCGGACGTGCGGATACCGTCGGGGAAGACCTCCCGCGGCGCTTCGGCGTTGTTGCCCTTCCACTTGGCCGCAGCCGGGGACGGGAGGGTCGTGGCTTCGTTGACGAGGACACCGGGAGCCATGTTGACGTTCTGCAAAGTGAATCACACGTATGTACAGTTGTGCTGCAAATATGCCACTTGCTTTTTCTCACGCTTGAGAGACATTCGTGTGCCACCCCACCGCGGGCGAAGCGTCCTCTACTTGAAGGATTTCGGCATTTGAGCTGCCCCTCACGGCGATGGTACATCGTGACGTAGAAACATGCAACTGATGATGAGGACAGCCGGGTACGGCATGGCGTGCTGCAGTGCGATAGGTGAGGATTCGCGAGCTCGCGGGCACAGATGGCGTGCTCAGGGGTCCTATATCGCGAGAATGGTCTCGGATTGCGTGACCGTCAACGGTGCGGAGTCGGGCGATCACTGCCACCGGTGCTGTCGCTCCGAACGAAAGGCAGAATCAAGTGCCGTGATCGCAGCGTGGGACTCGGCAGTGATGCTCGGTCGCCGTCCACCGTTGGCTGCTGGACGATATTGATGGAGCGCGACGACATGAATCTGCATCGACCCAGACTGGCGGTTCGCTTGCGTGCTGACAGGACCCAGCTCTAAACGAGGTCCGCACTAGTGATTGGAGGCTGCCTCGTGCTTTGATCATAGGCTCGGTCCCGTCACTCAAAGAGGATATGGTGGTTCGAGTATCAACGCAATATCAGTCGGCATTCAGCCGAGTCATTGTCTGCCATCAAGGGACACAACGAGCAGTATCTCTCTCAAGTCGCGCCACTCAGTCTTGGGTCAAATCCCGATGCGTCTGGCGTGGAGAATCTGACCCCACGATCTTGCGGCTTGCAGATGTACGTAGGGAACGAGATCACGTGCAGATATTCCCCTCCAAGCCCGGGGAAATCTCCACTGACTCAATGGACCCCTGTTAGAAGGCGCGTCCAATGGTCCTTTCCCAGGTGGCGGAGGGGCATTTCTGCTGACTCATTTTCCAGGCTTCCTTCCACGAGGGCGTTCCTGGCGCGCGGAAGGGCAGCCAGCGACAAGACAAGTGGAAAAAGTACGTACCTTGTACATGTACTGACTGACAGGCAGGAGGGTTCAATCCAACCCACCATGCCGGACACCGGAAGGCGACCTACTGCACGACCGCCGCAGCCTAACACACCACCGTTACATTTTCCTGTCGACCACATTTCGCGATACAACGAAAGCACGCGGCTCACTGCATCATCCCTTTTCCAGACATCATTCGAACAACAGACAGGCCCGAGAGAAACAGAGCACAGGGTCTTTCCTACCTTATCCCCGAACTACTTGACCAACCGAACCCCGGAATCTGGAACCCGCAATCTGGGGCGCGCATCTTGACATCGCCCCTCTTCACCATGGCCCTCCTCAGCGCAAAACCCAAAAAGCCACGCATGGTACACCGCGAACGAGTCGAAGTCGTCACACCCAAGCCCAAGCCGAGACTCCTTGCCCCCGCTGTTGCCGCCTCGGTCCGCTCCCAGTCCTCGTCCTCCTCTCGCGCCTCCCCAAAGCCCAAGCTGCTGCCCCGCCACAAGAGCGCGTCGCCCTACCCATCCTCCTCCGATGACCGCCGCGCCGAGCGCAAGCGCAAACACGGCAGCGCCGACCCCCTGCAGCCGCACTTTGACAAGGACTCGGACGGCGAGGACGAGGATGACGACGTCTTCCTGAACCTCGAGAGCCGCAAGCGCCGCCGCCCGCTCGACGACCATGTCGACAAGAACAGGACCCTCACCTGTGCCGATGCGTTCGATGTCGAAAAGCCCAGGCGGCTCAACTACATCCACGCGACTGAGATTATGAACTCGACGTCGACCTCCAAGGCCGTCGAGCGCGCGCTGGGGGCCGGGCCCGACGACGACATTCGCGTCGAGCTACAGTACCCCAGCTTGTATGCGCCAGAAAAGTATGCACGCGCGTCCTAATGCCACCTTTTGGTATTTCGTACAGATGCTGACAATCTCTTTCTTACGACAGATACGAACTCCTCGTGGAGAATGGCAAGATCGATGCTGTTCGGGACATCATTGACGTTGTCTCGCACGTTGCCGACGAATACCTGACGGAAGAACAAGCGGTTGACTTCCGCGAGCCGAAAGCGGGACTCATCCGTCGCCTGAAGCGCGCATCGGGGATGAACGAGCTGAGCAGCTTCAAGGACGCGCTCGGAGACGCCAATGCTAAGATTCTATCTCTGGCTAACGACGGCACATTCCGGAAAAACCTCGACACCAAACACAGCCTGCCCCGCAAGCTGGTGGAATTCATCCTGACCCAGGTCTACGACCGCACCGTGTCCCCCGACGTCGAAAAGCTGAAGCAGTATACCAACGGTACCGACAATGTGTACGGAGAACTGAACTACGTGTTCATTTCCAAGATCCTCCAGGAGAAGACGCGCATGACGTCGGACCAGGTCTTTGTCGATCTTGGTTCAGGTGTCGGCAACGTCGTGCTGCAAGCGGCGCTTGAAATCGGCTGCGAGAGTTGGGGCTGCGAGATGATGGACAACCCGTGCGACTTCGCCGAGGCGCAAAAGAAGGAGTTCGCCAAGCGCTGCAGGCTTTGGGGGTTGGCTCCGGGCAAGGTGAACCTTGTCAGGGGAGACTTCCTCCAGGAAACGTCCGTCCACGACGTCCTCAAACGCGCCGACGTCGTGCTCGTCAACAACCAAGCCTTCACGCCACAGCTCAATGACAAGCTGGTCAGCCTGTTCCTTGACCTCAAGAAAGGCTGCAAGATTGTGTCGCTCAAGTCGTTCCTCTACGACCAGGGCGTGCGCAGCATTAATGATGTTGCCAGCAATATTCTGCAGGTCGAGGACCACACATATCCCGAGGGCCACGTCAGCTGGACCAACGCTGGCGGCACATTTTGCATTTCGACGCGAAAGTAGACTGCGGAAGACGATGAGAGCGGGCTGTCGGGGTCCGAAACCAGATTGAAAGCGAGGGTTTGGCTTTGCGTAACGGCCGGTACATTGAAGCGGCATAAGCCATGGGATACAGGGGCGTTCCGGGTGTACTGGTGATCTTGGTGGGAATGTTGCATGCCTGAAGAGCAGCCGGATACCCTTGTGGCGACTCTCGGCGGACACGGCATGACATTGCATGGCATGACATGACACAGTGGCGGCAAGCCTCCACCTGTAGTATAAGTATAAGTTTAGGTATGATCAGCTGTCAAGACCATTATTGCGTATGCTTCATCGCTTGTTGTCAAAGTGTGGTTCGTTGGCGAGGTTCATGGCGTCAGCTTCCTGGGCCATTCTCTTCATCCAGCGGTCAATGAGCTCCTTGTTCTCTCTCTTGACCTTGTCACGCTCTTTCTCGGCCATGGCAACCTGAAGGTTTAATGTGATCATCTCGTCTTGGACGTCCTTCGACAGTCAGCGACGGGCACGGTGGGGGAGGCGCGTCACAGGCACACACCTCGATCAGTTTTCTTTTTTCCTTGATTTCGTGTTCGCGGTCACGTAATTTGGTGACGAGGGCAGCCTTCTCCGACGTGAGGGCCCTCAACTCGTGGGTATCTGTCTTGGTCTTGTTGCGTAACTCGACAAGCTCGTCCTCGGCCTTTTTCGCCCGAGACTGCAGGGAACCTTTCGATCGTAGGGCTTCGGCGAGGTCGAATCGGAGCTGCGCGGCAACGGGGTCGGCACCATCCACGGGAGCAGCAGCCTTTGCACCGCCCTTTGCCGGCAGCTTTGTCGTCGCTGCGAGCGCTTCCTTCTCAGCCTCGAGTGCTGCGACGCGATCGGTCAGCTGCGAGCCTGCCATGCGCATAACGTGTCAATTATCGTCCGGCTTTGGTCTGCACAGGAAGAGGGCAGCAAGTACATAGTTCGACGAGCTCGAGGTTCACGGGATTGTTCCGCTCCTGCTCGCGGAGGGAAGCGAGGTATTCATCGCGCCATCCAGGCATCGCGCTGAGAAGCGGTTCGCACGGGTCGACGCTGATGAGCTCCTATTGCATCAGCCGTCAGACGCAGGCGACGGGAGATAAATATCGGTCGCAACGGGCGGATGCATGCCAGAAGCAGCAACGCGCGCAAGGTCAGTGAAGGCTACCTTACCTTATCAGAGGTTCCGAGACACAAACACCCCTCAATGACGTGCCTACCGGTGTTTTGCCGCCCCACTGCAGAGGCACCGCCGGGGGGGGGCCTGGGGAGGTCGTGTGGGCGCGTGGGCGGTAGGAGCTCCAGGCAAGCTCATGTGAGCTCCCGTCACGCACTGAGTGCCATACCGTACTTATTACCTGGCGTTCATTCTCCCCCACCCACACTTCCGCCGCGCGAAGCCGAACGATACTCTCTGACCAGTCATGAGGTGATGCGAAATGGACATTGCTCATCCGTCTGTTGGGTGGGAGAGCGTGGGCGATAAGTGGTTTCGCAAGACGCAGCTCTACACCGAGGTGTTTGACCAGGATCTCGACCTCGACAACCATATTGTTGCCGGGGCACCCAACGGCGGTGCTTTAGGTATGCGCAGCTCAACGACTGAGCATCTGCAAATGTCGCGATGCATACTGACGTGCCACAGCCATCTATCGTGATGACACAAAAATCCAAGCGTACAGAGCGCAGAAGTCTGCTAAGCCGAGTATCGATATTTACAGCTATGCCGGCAAAAAGTTACGCAGTATTGCCTGGGATAAAGGATCCATCAAGGGCATAGGTTGGTCTGAAGATGAGAGCCTCCTCATCGTGACGGCCGATGGTACCGTCAGGGTGTATGATCTTCAGGGCGAGTTCACACAGTTCTCCCTGGGGAATGGTGCTGATAATTACGGTGTCACTTCATGCAGGTTGGTTGAGGCGCCCCAAGGCACCGAGACAAGGCTCACGCTAGCAGGTTCTACGATCATGGCATGGTGGCTCTGCTCACCAACAATGCCCTCATTTCTGTCACATCATATTCGGAGCCACGGCCGAAGCTGCTTGCTTCACCGCCAGAGGGCGAGATCCACGGCTGGGCCATCATGACTCCTGCCCATACACTTTCACGGTCCATCGAGGTGCTGCTCAGCATTGGCCAGACCCTGTATGTTGCCGACGCCACGGAATGCGAGGATCGTTTTCTCGATATAGGCCCCTTCAGCCACGTCAGTGTATCCCCTGATGGTGGCCTTATCGCTCTCTATACAGAGAGCGGCATCGCCCACGTAATTGCAAGCGACTTTCAGGAAAGACTCGTGGAATACAGCAGCCACTCAAAGATACCACCGAAGTATGTCGAGTGGTGCGGCGCCGATGCCCTCATCGCTTGGGAGGACGAAGTGCATTTGATCGGGCCTGACAATGCATCCGCCACCTTCTTCTACGATGGTCGTGTTCATGCCATCTCAGGTAAGTGGTCTTCACTTTTACCCAAGCTTGGAGCCACGTCAATTCAACTAACCCATGTAGAACACGACGGCGCGATCCTGTTCACAAACGACGTTTGTGATTTTGTCGAGCGTGTACCACGCAGCACAGAGCAAGTCTTTGGCGCGAGAACAGAGTCATCCGCCGCATCGATACTCCTGGATGCTGTTGGCCAGCTGGAGATCCAATCTCCCAAGGCAGACGACTACATCCAGCTCATCAGACCAAATCTGACAGAGGCAGTCGACACGTGCGTGAATGCAGCCGGTCGCGAGTTTAGCGTGCACTGGCAGAAGCAGCTGCTCAAGGCTGCATCCTTCGGCAAGTCGGTGCTCGACATTTACAACAGTGATGACTTCGTCGACATGTGCGAGACGCTTCGTGTTCTCAATGCTGTGCGGTTCTTCGAAGTCGGACTTCCCCTCTCTTTTGAGCAGTACCAGCGGCTCACACCGGAGGGTCTCATCAACAGACTGCTCAGTCGTCACGAGTACCTTCTCGCCTTGAAAATTGCTGGATACCTCCACCTACCCACCGACCGTATCTACGTCCATTGGGCTTCAGCAAAAGTTCGCGCTGGGACTGAAGACGACGACACGATCTGCCGCATGATTGTCGACCGTCTGTCGGGAAAGCCAGGCATTTCTTTTGAAGAAATAGCCCGCGCCGCCTACGATGAGGGTCGCAGCCGTCTCGCGACCGAGCTGCTCAACCACGAACCACGCGGCGGCCGCCAGGTGCCTCTCCTCCTGAGCATGGAAGAGGATGAGCTTGCCCTGGACAAAGCCATTGAGAGTGGCGACTCGGATCTCACGCTGACTGTTCTTCTCGAGATGAAAAAGAAATTGCCCCTGGCCGCCTTCTTCCGCGTCATCAACGCTCGCCCTGCCGCCACAGCTCTCGTCGAGGCTTCCGCTGCCCGAGAAGCCGACAACGCCCTCCTCAAGGACCTTTACTACCAGGACGATCGCCGCATCGACGGTGCCGGCGTCTTCGTGCGGGAGTCACTCCACCAGCCCGATGCCCGCACGGCGGCTGACAAGCTGGCATTGGCTGCGAAACTGCTGTCCGATTCAAAGGATTCTTCCTTTGAGGTCCGCGCGTTGAAGGAAGCGACGACACTTCTGAGGGTACAAGAGTCGTTTGACCGAGATCTGACGGATTCGTTCACTGGCTTGAGCGTCAATGACACCATGTTCAAGCTGATTCGGCTGGGCTATCACGGCCGCGCGAAGAAGATTCAAAACGAGTTCAAGGTGCCGGACCGGGTCGCGTGGTGGATTCGGTATGCACTCCTTCCTCTCTCTTCTCTTGATTTCATTCGCTGACACTGTGGCCAGTCTCCGCGCATTGGTTGCAAAGCGTGACTGGAACGAGATTGAGGAGCTGTCCAAGACCAAGAAGAGTCCTATTGGCTGGGAGGTACGTCGTGTCACCTCGACCTCTGTGCAAGCCGATTACTGACAAGGCAGCCATTTTTCAATTTGACCCTACAAGCTGGTAATCCAAAGCTGGCCGCGGCCTTCATCCCCAAGTGTACAGGGCTTGAGCCCGGGTCCACGGTGACCATGTATGAGAAGTGCGGCATGCGAGTCAAGGCGGCAGAGGAAGCGGTGCGGCTCAAGGACGCGGAGGCGTGGGCGCGGCTGCTCGAGGCGGCAGGGAAGAACACGTCTGAAGGCAGAGAGATTGAGAAGCTTGGACAGGCCGTGTTCAAGCGGTGAGCAGGAAGCTAGCTAGCTGGTCGCGCAGCAGGAGGGTCATCACCGGAGCTGAGCGATCAAACTAGGCGAGACATTGTGTTTACATCAGGCCGCCATCTGTGTGCGGTCGGGACCGACATCTGGCTACTGCTTAACGGGGTGAGCACCTCGTGCTTGATGCTCCTTTGATTGTGCCTATCCGTTAACGACCCAACGGCCCGCTGTGGATCCAAGATCGTGAGGTTCAGGGATGCAACAACGGCTCCGTCTGGCCGGAACCAGGTGCCGACTTCAAGGCTTCCCATAACGACGCCCCCCCTCAAAGCAGCTAGGAGGGTAAGGTGTGGAGAGAGCTGAGCTGCTCGACGTCACGATCTTCCTTGATGCAATGTAATGAATTTGTCGCTCTCGAATCGCTAACGGCCGCAGGCCTGCTTGGATGTGATGGGTTTGCAGCATAACATGACAATCTGAAAGACAGTGGGGCCCATGCCCGCCCTCCTTGGCAAACGGGACATCATCTCCCCATGTTCACGTTGACGTCAGCCATACAAGCGACGAGCAAGGGCGAGCTGACTAGATCTTCAACTCTGCTCCTAAGACACCAGGCCATAGATGCGCGCGCCGTTGTGCCTGGCGCGCAAAAGAAAGCATTAAGCGAGCTCTGCCCTGCGAAACGATACCAACGAGAGACGGTCTCGCTCTCGGTCCCAGGGGGACGAGGACGAGTAAACGGGCGCAGCAGCTGCCTGAGCGAACGCAGTGCAGGGCGGCACAGCTGGAATGCGGAGCCCCTTCGAGAAGAACTGGTAGAAGGGCTTCCACGCGGTTGGCGGGGAGGCGAGTTGAGTGAGGGAGCTGGTGCGCCGAAACCCGAGCATGCCAGCTTGCGAGGTGTGTTTCAGCAGCGCAAGGGTGGCTGCGCTGCAAACAGATGGGGAGACAGTGTAACACGCGAGAGGCGGGTAGCTAGCTGTTCGGTTTTGTGATCTTGAGCAGCCGTGCTCAAGGGAATGCTGACCATACAAATCGGGCTTGTACAGAGGGCCACCGAAGACGCAGAGAACAGGGCGAGAGAAACCTCGGTTTGGCATCAGCCCGCCACTGGTGATCGACATGGAGCTCGGGCGTTATATGATCGAAGCTTCTTACCGTAAGTAATGTAGGTCATGCAGATGAGGGAACAAGAAAAAGAACCAAAAAATCCAATTGGACTCTAAAGCGGACCAGCAGAACACGGATGGGGAGCTTTTGGAGACGAAGGTTTGGAAACACCAGTATGAAAAACTAAAAGTTCGTGATGGTTGCCGCCACAGCGGCTGTGGCGGTTGTAGCAGCTCGTTGTCAGCCAAGACAGGAGCAACATTTGATCGGGATATGCCGATCTAGATCTGGGATGTACAGTAAGTAGGAACTGCCATAACAGCAGGCCAGGATTAGTTCCTAGGCACAAGCCAATGCCGAGCTACTTCAGTGATCACGCCGTTGGCGCATCCGGTGCGACGAAGCGAAGCCTCAGAAAACGTGGAATGCTGGGGGAGAAATCTGGGGGCCAGCAGTGGCACCTTGGCCTCACGTTCCTCGCAGAGACTTGCATACAGAGGGCTGAGGGGTGGCCCGATGGTTTGGGTCCTGAGGCAGGTTCATGCGACAACGACGCTCGAAGGAGAGGATTCTAACGACCTGGGAGTTCCCGTGGCTAGCGAAGAGGTAGCGACGATAGGGGTTCATGGAATGCTCTGGGCCCGGCTGTGAACAAGTCTTGACAGATGGGCGCAGCGAGAATTTGGTTCAGTCAAGATCGGGCGGGCCAGGCGTCTGACGAAAGCACGTTGGCGAGCAAATCTGCAGGGTACGTTCCGTGGCCTGGGCATGCAAGGCCAAACACGGGAGGCGATTCAGAAGGGGAGTTAGCGTCGAAAACGGAGTCTTGGGTTCGTCGCTTGTGATCGGGGCACGAGACCGGCCTGTCTCACACCCTTTTATCAGTCTGCGTGCGTGCTGCTCTGGAGACGTCTCGTCGACCGCCGGCGCTCATGGACCGAAGATCTCCTGGACACAGCGGTAGTTGAGGAGCTCAAGACAGGGCAGGCATGCTATTGACGTGATGTTGTCGCTTGTCTGGGGACGAAGTTGACGAGAACGAAAGCCAAAGGACTTGTCAAGGATGAATGTACAAAGAGAAACGAGAGTCAGACCCTGGCTGGGCGGCATGCATTATCAAGACGCTAATCCTAACAAGGATATTTATGGCACCTCGTCATTGGGGGCAACCACGAAAGTCGCCCCTTTACAGCGATCAATAACACTCCCAAGTGACCGTCTGAGCCTGCCAAGACCGCCTGAGCCGAGTCAATGCCAGTGGTCGGCCAGCGCGCAGGTGTAGTGGGGAAGGCCCTGAACCACGCTGGTGACACCCCCCCCCCCGGCCAGGCCTCCATCGCCAACTCGTGGGATCACTCAAAGACCCTCAGCACCCCCCCAGATCCCACCTGCATCTGGAGCTGCATCTGCTTTGCCTTGGCTGCTCCCTGTTTTTTCCCCATCTTCCTTGAGGATCATCAACGCAACAAGCTGCGTGACCTTAGCTGCTCCAACATCTTCCACCTCGGCATTGTTCATCACATATACTGCTCCGCGCCTCTCTGGTTTTCACGCTCTGCATACTTTGTTGCGTCTGCCTCCACACCAGCGTCTCTCAGGTCTTTGCTTGTCCCCAATTCGAGCCAACAATTCATCAGACCACGCCCTGCAGCCAGTCGCGCCCCTTGTGCACACTTAGACCGAAGCCTGCAGTGTCAGACATCATCATCAACACTACTCGAGCAGAGACCTACACCAACATACCGTCCGCCCTGCACCAGCAACCGTGTGAAGTGCAACGCGACCAACTCGACCGGAATCGAACACCCGCTCGACCTCATCACCGCATCATCCTTGGGCCTCATCCCACAGAGTCCTCCTCCTCTCTCCAAGCTCGGATTTCACTTCTCATCTGTGCTGTACCCACGCAGTCGCATCCACACGAGCACGCACGCCGCACCTGGCTCTTGTCTCGAAGTCCCACCGCCCACCGCCCGCCGCCCGTAACACCCCCTCGTACATTCCAACGTCTTTCCAGCGGAACGTACACAATTCACAAACCTGCCCTTGTGTTTGAATAGGGTCTCTTGAATCCGAGATCCCTGACTTGTCTGGAAAGCTTCGACCTCTCCAAATCCTGCACCGCGCACTCTTTGGGAGAACCCAGGGCCTTTAAGACTACTGGAGCACCTCGAGCAGCCCCGCCCGTCCCCCTTCCTTGTTCTGCCCGTCCGCTGGGACTGCCAACCTCCCCCCAAGAAACCAATCACTACCTTCTCAATGTTTACCCAACCAGTTGCCTCACCACCGCCTTCTATGGGCCCAGGCTCGTCTGCGTCGACCAGCAATCCCTCGTCTACAAGCCGCACGAGTCGCCTTCGAGGCCTCAGCTATTTGCGCAATTACACCCACAACCATATTCTCTCTAGAGAACACAGTGCCGCCAACAGTCAATCTGTCTCCCTCTCCTCCACCCCGCCCAGTCAGCAGCCCGCCATCCAGGCCCGTCGAAACACTCTCACGCGCTCTGTCAGCTACTCGTCCGCTCCATCCACACCTGCGGCCATTGATGCAACATCCAACTCTTTGTCGCTCGTTGCCTCGCATCAGGAACCTATAACGTCTCCCCGGACCAAGCCACCGACCCCGCCTCCGGCGACGATCCCCGAGCAGGCAGCTGCAGAATCTTCCTCAGACGCCCAAGCATCTCCAAGCGCCAACGGCAACGAGGTGGAAACTGAGGAGCCGATGCCCGAGCCCAGGACGACGAGGCTGAGGTCTTCGACCACGGGCGACGTCGCCGCTATGGCAGCTGCTGTTGCCAATGTCGCTGCCAGCACCTCGACTCACGATGCCTTGCCGTCCATCCGGTTCTCTGCCTACTTCGACCCCCGTGCTACGCGGCCCAGCTTGTCGTTCTCACCCGTGGCCCGAACACTGCCTTCTGGAGGCGAGACCATTCGTGTCGGGCGATACTCGGAGCGAGAGAACCAGCCGGCCGTCCCTCACAACGTCCCGTCGGCCGCACCCGTGGGTTTCAAGAGCAAGGTTGTCAGTCGACGTCACTGTGAATTTTGGTACGACCAGGGCAAGTGGTACATCAAAGACGTCAAGTCTTCATCTGGTACCTTTCTCAACCACATCCGCCTGAGTCCCCCCGGCACAGAGTCAAAGCCATTCCCTATCAACGACGGCGACATCGTGCAGCTTGGCATCGATTTCAAGGGCGGCGAAGAAATGATCTTTCGCTGCGTCAAGATGCGGTTGGAGTTAAACCGAGGCTGGCAGAACAAGCCCAATGCTTTCAAGTATGTATGCCGATCCCCGGCGCAAGGAGGCGTCCGAAACTGACAATGACGCAGTGTCCAAAATCACAAGCGTCTGCGCAACTTGACGTCCTCTGCCAACTCGACAAACTCGACGCAAGACTGCTCGATTTGCCTCAACTCCATTGCCGTATGTTTAGTGGATATCCGCCCGTGCTTCCGTGACTGACAAGCAATGTAGCCCTGCCAGAGCCTCTTCGTCGCGCCGTGTTCGCACACATGGCACTACAAGTGCATTCGCGCTCTGCTAAACACTCCACAGTATCCCACATTTGTCTGTCCAAACTGCCGTATGGCCGCGGATTTAGAAGCCGACATCGAGGATCCAGACGAAGACTGGGACGTCGAAGCCGAGGAGTCGGAGAAGAAAGAAGACGACGGGTCTGGTGTTGACGCCAAGGTGCCCACCTCGGATCACTCGCAAGATGTGCAGGAGGCGAGACCTGAAGGCCGGGTCAGCAGCGACGGCGACGAGCTTGTGGACGTGACCGGACGCCAGGAGGAGCGCGCGACACGCAACACAGCTGCCGACCGAAGCACGTTGATTCCAAGTTCCGTATCGCAGCCCATGACAATACGATCGCCATCAGGGCCTCTACATCTCATAAACGG